AGCTGCGCCTGCGCAACGTGCGCTTCGCCTCCGCCGTCAACTCGGTGTGCGCCGCCGCGCGCTACCACTACGTCACCGTCCTCATGAAGGGGGAGGCGGAGCCGGGGGCGGAGCCGCGCAACCGCGAGCCCGAGAAGAACGAGGGTGAGGGGCGCGCGTCACCCCGAGGAGGGCGGAGGTCGCATCAAAACAGACGCCTGAGCGCGTTTTAGCGTAGTTTATGTTAGGTTCCCCTTTACTGCCACGCACTTTGGCGTGACGAGGCCGGGGGCGGCCACGTTCATAGAATCACAGGTTGGAAATGACCTGAGATCATCGAGATCAACCATCCACCCAACACCACCACGCCTGCTAAACCATGTCCCGAAGTGCCACATCTACACGTTTTTTGAACACCTTCAGGGATGGGGACTCCACCACTTCCCTGGGCAGCCTGTTCCAATGTCTGACCGCTCTTTCAGTAAAGATATTTTTCCTAATGTCCATTCTAAACCTCCCTTGACGCAACTGGAGGCCAGTGCCTCTCGTCCTGTCACTAGTCACTCGGGAGAAGAGACCAACACCTGCCTCACTACAACCTCCTTTCAGGTAGTTGTAGAGAGCCATAAGGTTCCCCCTCAGCCTCCTCCAGTCTAAACAGCCCCAGTTCCCTCAGCCACTCCTCACAAGACTTGTTCTCCAGACCCCTCACCAGCCTCGTTGCCCTTCTCTGGACACGCTCCAGCACCTCAATGTCCTGCTTGCATTGCACAGAGCTGCGGAAGTGCTCAGGTCCGGCAGGGCCAAGGCCAGAAGGGAGGAGAGCAGTGAATACAAACCAATTTTTTTTGCTGTGTTTTTCCCCCTGCAGGTTGGGAATGGGTGAAATGGGATGAATTTCCTCCAGCAGATCAGCTGTTCTGGGCCTTGCGCTGCTTAAGAGAGCAGGGTTATGATCCCTTCACAGAAGAGCTCGATCACCTGAAGGGGTACACGGGAAGCCACCAGCTCGCGTAAAAACTAATTGTACGTTGTGTAACGAACTGAAGGACAGACTGGGCTTTTTTGGTGTCAAAGAGGAAAGGATAGGTCATGCTTGCCCCGCCCAGGTGAAAATATTACCCTTTGCAAAGCCAAAAAGATGCCAAACATTTCAGTGCTTTTTCCATATTTCACACAACAGTTGTCTCGATCCAGAGCTATTTCTAGCTCTAATGGTTAACAATTAATGTTTGCTTTTTATAGAAACTCACAGTGTTTTATCTGGTTAACCTTTTTCTAGGCAGATAGCCCTTTGGAAGTCAGAACTAGTCAGAGAAGCTCACTCACTTGGAAACAGTTGCGTCATCAGGGCCAAGGGAAACTGATTTGTTTAAACCACTGTCCTGCTTTCTGTCTAAAACTACTTTGTATCATGCTGCTTTCCTGCAATTATAAATCCTGGACCAATTTTCATATTTAGCCTTGTCTTACAGCTTCAGTTAAGACACTGTCATGAACAAAAGTCACATCTTCCAGACAATGCTTCGTTCTCCTGCAGCCAGCAGCACATACGTGAAAATTGGGGTATTCTCAACATGAAAGGGTTGCGGTGGCTTGTTGGAGGGAATGAAAACTCCCTGACCCTCTTGCCACACCTTTTCTTTACAGAATTCTGTCTGTAGCCTCAGTTACATCAGAATTTATCTGCAGAAGCATTTCAGATCTCTGCAGTTGATCTTGATTCCTGGTCACGTTACTGAATTCTTAATAGTTTAATGGAGAGGTGCCTACAGTGTTCTACTAGGGTGACACAAACATGGTACAAACTAATCTCAGCGGTGTAGCTCTACGGCAGGCAGTCATACGTTTTCGCTGAAGAGAGTGGTCAGTGTTAAACAGCACAGACTGGTGTAATTCTGGATGGCTACTGGGATTTGATAGTATTGTTAATTTACAGTTTGATGTGACTAAATGATTAAATTGGTAGTGAACGAAATCACAGTACACAAAGATCTATCCAAAACCAGTAAGTTTATATTTTTCATTTTTCTAGAATCTGTAACTGAATTTGATTTTTTTTTCCAGCTGTAGTCATTAGGACACCAGCAATTAATTTTAGGATATTACTTTTAAAAAAAAGCACTAAATTGGCTCATTTTCTTAATCTTCAGAGTTCTTTTAAAACACAGTTTTTGTCTGTTTCCTTTAGATATACCCATTGTACAAGATGTTGAGATAACTTTAATGTCTTTCAAATAGAATATAAGCACAATATCAAAAGATTAAAATTGTCTGAAATTATGAATTGTCAGTTCTTGAAAGAAATGAGCTTGAAGGGTTTAAAGCTTCTCCTTACTTTGCACATGTATTTTCTGAAATGGAGATGTCTGTGTTTAGCAGCACAGTGATACAAGGTATAAGGATGCTACCGATGATCGCAAGCCTCCTGCTTAGAATTTGAAGTGTTAACTACGCACAGCTTCCTTAGAACAGAGATTCTTTCTCTGAATTGAAGAAAGAAGATAATGTTATAAAGCAGTTTCAAAATGGGAAGTATCACTGAAAGTTCCTTTACTTCTGTATCTTTGTAGAAAGCTTATTTTTACTATTCAAAAGTGGAGATTTTCTTCCTGAAAGCAACTTTATGTATACTGAAAATTATTCCATTCAACTGTCAACAAAAGAGGCTTTAGGAAGAGTTGACAGATGTCCTGCCCATCTGTCCCAAAGAATATTGAAAAAAAAAAAAAAGATTAAAATGATTTAGAGCAATGCAGTTTTAAATTCTGGAAGGCGTCTAACTCCTGATGGGAAAACAGGGGTCACTGTAAAATGGTTTGTCATGCAATAACTATTTTGTTACCATTAATGGTTGTATTCTGTCTAATGTAAATATACAAGTAGTTACTGAAATGAGGACACAAACAGTATCTCCATATGTCAGGGTTTCTATATCCTTTCTAAATGATTAAATGACTACTGTGCATTACTACAATCAGCTGTCAGCAATCCCTAACTTATCATGCATTTGTACTTCCCCCCCCCCAAAAAAAAAAAAATTTTTGATTCACAGTTTTTAGCTGCTAAAATTTGGTCCTTTCAACTAACTATTATGTTTACTTTGACTTTTGGTACTTTTGCTAAATAGGAAAATCTATTCTGTAGACACCTAAGCCACTGACTAACAGAACATTCAGTTGAAACTTCATGGTTTGCTAAACTACTTGTACCAGACAGAATTCACCTAAAGTAGCATTATAGTTATCCAGCATTGAGAGAAATACTCCTGAACAGTATGTGGTTTGAAGCGCTGATGAAAAGAAACTGATTAGGATGCATCTTTATATCTAGAGTCTGATTTTAAGCTATGTGAACAGTAAGCAGAGCTGTCTTCTTACCTATTTCTTAGATGTAACACGCTGGTCCCATTTAACAGACTACCAAACAAACCAGAAAAAGAAGTGGTCAGCGCTTCTGTTCACTCTTATTTACATCTGGAAACAATCACCCACCTCCACAGTATTTCAGTTCTTCAGTTATTTCATTCCAAGAAAAGAATGTTCTTATAAATAAGAAGATGAAAGAGACTAGTGAGGTGCAGCTGTGTGTCATAAGACATGTTAAGAGGGGCCTTTCAGGAAGAAAACACTAATCCCACGGTGCAAAGCATTAAGAAATTGCATTTTGCAATATTGTATATGATTCTGATCGCACATTTAAGAAAAAACAATGTGAACTAGAACAGGGGCAGGCAACATGAACTAGGAAAATTGAGAGAGGCTAGGTGTATTGGGATTAACATCGACTAAAGAGGAAATACATTTCTCTGTATATATAGACAATGGCAGTAAACACCAAAGAGGAAAAGATCATACTGAATAAAGGTTAAAATATATATATATGCATATGAGTAACTTTAGACTGCAAAATAGAGGTGAAATTTTAATAACTGTGAAAATACTTCCAACAGGAACAGCTGAGACAAAACCAATTTCCCCATTTCTCTTTTAAAACAAAAATCACTCCCATATTACGTGACTCAACCTGACTGAAGGGATCCTTTTAATTTCTACATCCTTATGGGATTTGTACATATGTTCATCATACATGGCAGCATTACTGACAGCAGTATTTGAAAGATTGTCTTTGCAAATGAGGAAGAACACCATTTATCAGATACAGCCTGCAAGGAATCTACAAAATGGAAAAGTGGAGAGAATTGTGATCTGTGCTTCAGGAAGCCTCACTGCAGGGCAGAAACCTGTAACTGCCATGAGCAACAGTTCACGTAAGTAACCCCCTGATCAAATCAGAAAACTGAAGAGAAAAGTAGCTGTCAAAGTGACTCCTTAAGCAAAACAGAACAAGGAAAGGAAAGCCAAGGGAAGTGCATTTGGAAAGATGAAAGAACATTGTAGCTGAGGCAGGAAATGCAACTGCTGAAATAAACAAATTAGCAGGTTCAAAGAACTGAAAACATTATAGATTAAAGAATAAAGAATTATAGATTTAAGAATAAAGAATCTGTGAGCACTTTGAACAGAAAGGAGCTGAACCTGAAAGGTGCCCCAAAGCACTTCATCTCCAGGGTCCCAGGATGCGTAACCGAAGTATTGGTGAAGCCTTGCGAATGGGCGCTCTGCATCACTGCTTCAGAGTCTGCCCAGTTCTGCATCTACCTGAGCCAGCTCAGCTGAAAAGGACAGACTCCCAGTTCCTGACTGCTCAGCTGCTTCTAATACTGACTTGCCATTTTGCACAGGGGAAGATGGAATACAAACTTCTGAAACTCAGTCAGAATTCAACCACACACTGGGATAAAAGGTGTTGAGTCCTGAAGTTACACAATAACTCATCTAATATTTAAGTCTGCAAAATGAAACAAAGTTACATCAAAGCTGAGTTTATTTATGACAAACAATTCATTATATATTACAATAATTACAAACTTTTTTACACCATATCGCCGTATTTTTGTTCTCGGCACACACAAGATGATCAAGAACACAGATTTAGGCAGTAACAAAAAAGATATTAAAATTACAAATTTCATGCCTCATTTCTGTGCCATAGAAAAGGCTATAATCAAAAGAGTAAAGTTACTAACAAACATACAAGGGGATTCCCCTTACGCCTTTTTTCCCAGGAACTTTTGTCATCTAATGTATAGTAAATACATATATACACACATGTCTCTTGCAAACATACACATTCACACATTTACGTAATCACTGGAAGTCTGACACCTCTCCTCCATCAGAAAGCTCCCAGTCATTTTACTTGAACATCTAATGGGGGGAAAAAAATTAAAACAAAACAAAACAAAAAAATCTGAAGTCCGTGGTCTTTAATTAGTCACCCTACTCCTGAGCCAGCTGTTATCTTCGCCCTAAACAGGGCCGCCAGCATAATAAAAGGGTATTGCAGTCTGTGACAAACAGCATTCAACCTACCTTCACCACAGGAAAGGTCTACTAGGGATACTGTCCCTCTTGTACCTAGTCTGAGTCACTGCTGCTGCTTGAGGAGTCTGTTGACATGACTTCTACATCATCTTCGTTCTCTTTATTGTGTCCCGGAGGCTCCAACATGAAGTCATTACTGTGATTAGGAGGTAGCATGTTCATTGACATATCGCTTGACTGCCAAGGATACTGAGGAGCAAGCACATCTGGAAAAAAGGAGCATGATCAATCAAACTATCAGCTTTGTATATTGACAAATTCAACAAGACAGCTCCACCAGGACTCCAATTTAAAACTCAATCTTAAAATCCTTCCTGAATTTTGGACAGATGAAACCCTCCAGTAACTGCTGGACAACATCTCATGATGGAGCCATTCTATCACTGTAAAAGCCTCCTCTGCCAAAGAGGCCCATTAATGTAGGTGGCTCTTCATCTCTCATCACTCCACTTCAAAACACTATACATTCACACAGAGCTTTTCATCTTCAAAGCAGTTTGAACTGACTTAACATTCACAACCACTGGCAGTAACGAAAATGGTCACCCTCTGTCAGTATGCAAAAATAGATCAAAACATTAGATTAAAAAAAAAAAATACTTAAGATAGACCATAGAAATTCAGAGTAAAAAGTTTTATCCAAATTTGGCTGTAACACCTTGGTTACTATTTTTCCAACAGTAAATATGGTGCATAGAGTACAAAGAAGAGTGTCCTACTACAAAACCAGGGCCACAGAGATACTTGAGAGAATGTAGGAATGCCCCACTGTGCCCCAGCCAGGCCAGCCTCAGTTCCCCGACTTCTCTCAGCTCTCACTGTTTCTTCTTTTCCTGTCTTACTTCCACAGCCATCCCATCCCATACTCCCTACCAACCTACCCTCCCCTCACAACACTTCCTAGTCTCTCCCTTACTTGACCCCCAAACGGTCCCCCATTTCAAAGCTGCAGTACACATCTATATGCCGTTTCCGCTCCCTTCCTTTTAATTTATGCTCCTACTGCTGTGCTTCAGTTCTTCACTTATTACCAGGCACTGTAGTGAAGTCTATCCCACAGAAGAAACCAGCTATCTCCCACTTACAGCAAGAATTAAAAATAATTAGGCAGAGACCGAAGTGAACAAAAGCCCACCCATGTGGGACTCTGAGTACAGAGAAAGAGGGTACTGTCTAAGCAGGGGATCATATGTGGTAGACTTACTCTCATTCAGCTGCTGCCTAACTCATCAGTAGACAGACTCCACACACAGTAGCTTTGGATCGTTAAGTCTGTAGACACCTGAGATCCCACACCTGAACAACAGCCACAGTCCCCTAACACCAGATACATTACCTGGCTGTACAAATCCGCACACCAGTGTACGCGAGGACATAACGCAGCCTTTATGCCAGTCCTGTGCCCATTTTAGGAAGACCAGCAACAGTACCAGGTGGTCTCATCCCAGTGGTGGTGAAGTTAACCAACTTTATTTGAACCAGCTGAGAACATAAGCCAGTGTTATACATCCCACGGCCACACTTCAGTGCTGGAACCAGTCCACTACCAAATCAGGTTGAATGAGCGTACTAAGCAGCTTCAAAGTTTTGAGGCTACCAAGCAGCCCAGTGGCTGGCTTGCAGACTCAGTAAGGACTCAGTAACTGGACATCTCTCTGTACTGCACATCTCTCTGCAGAAGTCTCTAAAAGGACTAAATTCCATCATTAGCATTCTCAGGACACGCCACCACACACCGACAGATTCAGGATCCCTGTACAAAATGCCAGAGCAGCCTCTACTTTCTTTTAAATGAAGTTTTGATGTTACCCTCTTACCTGCAGTCGAGGAATTAGAGTATTTCCCCTGGCTTAGGAGACCCAGATTCAATTAACAACTTGAGAAGTTTAAATCCCACATTTTCTAGCTTCTCAACGAAAAGTCCTAAAGAGCGGGGCTTCAGTTCTTACAGAGACAGCACTCAAAAGTAGAAGGAGCAAGTCTGCATCCTCTAAAGCAGCGAAGCCACCCAGAATGGGCTCCACCTAAACAACTCCATGACGAAGACACAACCTTAACATCTCCTCTGACCATACTTCAAAAGAACAGAAAAGATACATGGGCCTATCCTCAGCACTTCTCTGGTGGGTTGCTATGGACAGATGTCAGGGTCCCACTACTTTTCCGCTCACAGGCCCATTTTATCCAAGACCAGAGGCTTAGAAAGCAAGATGATGAAGAACTTTTAAGTCACTTCCTAAGAGGTGACAACAGGATTAGACAGATGGTTGGAAACACAATATCCAAGTTTACTATTTCTCCAATGGAGTCGCCATACAGGTTTAAGATACTCAGTACAACTTTTGAAAACAAGCTTTCCGTAACACCTGTAAGTGGCTTAATAGACAGGTAAGAACTGTTACAGATCTCCTATGAATTCACGATACGAATTTTTCCACATTTTAGTCTTAACCATGGTATACTAATGCTGCACAGATACAGAACCACTTAAATGTTTCAGTTACTGTAATTTACTGCTAAATTCTACTTTAGCATGAATGCACGAATCCCATTAAAGTCAGTGGAAGTGCCCATTTCACTAAGCAATTAAGTGATTGAAGCTTGATTCCTACACTCGAGGTATTACCTCACCAGCTGTCCTTTACAATGTCTTTTCAAACCAGGACTTCTAAGCAGTCTCGCTATACAGAGCGTAGACTTAAAGGAAGGTAGGGGATGATAATAAACCTCTTTTCTTCTGAATACAGCTTTCACAATTCCGTACTTTCTGTCATCACTGCTAAGAAAGTTTGCTTTGAAAATGCTTTTAATACGATTTAATATCACTTAATTTACAGTAATTTAAAAGAAGTGAATTGAAGTGTAACTAAATTTTGTTTATATTCACTTAGTTGTAGTGTCTGCAGTACGATTTAGCACGAAATAAAATAAAATTATGCAATTTCTAATTGTTAACTTTATTTAGTAGATCTTCACTGCTAGGGAACAATGTTAGCCGTAATTTTCATTATTTTAACTCTGATTTGCCTTTGCTAAGGGAAATGTATAATTTCTATGACTGTACAAGAAATAAAGAAGAGCAAAACAAAACTGAATTTCTCTTACCTGGCAATCTGCCTGCTGCAAGTGCATCCCCTGGTAAATGTCCATTAACTCCATTGGTGGATGGGTTGTTCATCTGACCCAAGAGACCACTCCTCATTTCCAGATCAGTAGGATATGGCCTACGTGGGTCCCCTTTAACAAAAAAGGCAAAGGAATGTCTTTAAATATTTAACAATTGTCTTGCAGACATTCACTTTTTCTTCAGTGCCTAGTTTCCTGACCAAAAAAAAATCCCATACTCTGTTTGGATCAGCAATAAGCATCACACGTGTTTTGTTAAAATCCAGGTATGTCTTTCACTTAGACTTTCTCTGTTCATTCAAACTTGGCAGAAAAAGCACATTAAAAAAAAAACCAAACCCAAAAAACCCCACGCGTTTAGAAGGTATCTTTGCTCTCCCTGGTACTTCACAGCTGAACAGCAAAGAGAGGAATGGGAAAAAACACACTCTCATTTTGGACAAAAAGGATCATTCCCAAAATTGAAACCCAACATAATGAAAACCCGGCTTCTGACTCCACTGATTACTAACATTCTCTGTAAAGAATATTGTAAGGGGCTGGAGGGAACACAACCGAGCACATGGAAAAGCCTTTAACATACTTGGTTCTAACGTACAACTGGGGCCAACATTCAGGAAAAAAAAAAAAAAAAACAAACAAAGGAGACCAGAGACAGTCAGTCATTTAATGGAAGCATGCAGTTTCACAGCCTTTTTGAAAATGTACACAAAGTCTACAGGACTTTGGATATCCGTTTTTGTTAAAAATATTAGATATAACAGCTGAAAACAATGTTACTGTAATAAACTCCAGTGTTTTTCACTGCATAAAAGCATTCTAAGACCAGATACTGACCACGTTTTATTATATAAAGATCTATTCTCACAAAAATGATAGTTACCTGGTACCCATGTCAGAGGGGCACAAACAGCATTGCTAGCACTGATTCTATGGGCATACTTGATTATTTCTTCAGATGAAATGGCACCTGGAAGAAGGGAAGGAAAGTTACTATGTTCTCAAGAGATTGCATCATTGAATTATTTCAGAATATTGGACACTCGTATTGAAAAGACTGGGAATGTAATTTTATCAAACATTAAGAGCATGCTTCAGATGCCATGACTGCTTAGAGGATTCTTAGACTACGCAAGGATAAGCTTCACAGTGAACTGATTTTACAGCCACAAGTTCAGTACACCTTCAATGTCAACAGTTCTTCAAACCTGTGAAAAACACAAACCAATCTCTTAAGCAGTGTACTTACTTGACAAGCACAATTTGTAAGAAAACTTCAGCACCTGCTTTATTACGGAATTTTCTGTAGTAAAGAAATTTTTTTGTTTGTGTAGTAATTGTAGAGCATACATGTAGTAGCCCTTCTAAATACGTGCCTGTATTAGAAAAACTTTATGAAATTCTTGGACTTTTTACACAAAAGAGGTATGACAAAATCATAAAAGACACCATAAAAAAAAAAACATGAAAGAAAATGCCTCCCACAAAAAAAGTCAGTTTAGCTTGGTGAGTGCCACAGAGTGGCAGAAATTGCTACAAATGCAAACCAGTATCACCAGCTAGTCAGTCTTTCAAATATAATGCACATGCACACAAACATTGTCTCCCTTTCCTCAGCAGACCTACTGAGGCAATTTGGTGAGACGCTTAGGAAGACATTGAGCTGCTGGAGCGTGTCCAGAGAAGGGCAACGAGGCTGGTGAGGAGTCTGGAGAACAAGTCTTATGAGGAGTGACTGTAGGAACTGGGGCTGTTTAGCATGGAAAAGAGGAAGCTGAGGGGGGACCTTACTGCTCTCTACAACTACCTGAAAGGAGGTTGTAGTGAGGCGGGGGTTGGTCTCTTGTTTGAGAGGGCCAAGGTAAACAATTCAAATGATAGGCTTTCTTTCACCTACAGAGTCACCCAAAGGAATTAATTAATGTCAGTATTTTGGAAGAAGAGTTTTAGTAATTACAGTCACTAAGTAAATACATAGTATGAACACTTAAACCTCAGAAAACTATTACTATACTTTTTACATCAACATCATTTATCAGTTTCTTTTAGCTGATGGATCACTTCCATTCAGTGAGGCAGGTGTTGGTCTCTTCTCTCGAGTAACAAGTGATAGGACGAGAGGCAATGACCTCAAGTTGTGTCAGGGGAAGTTTAAATTGGATATTAGGGAAAATGTCTTTACTGAAAGAGTGGTCAGGCATTGGAATAGGCTGCCCAGGGAGGTGGTAGAGTCACCATCCCTGGAGGTGTTCAAAAAAACGTGTAGATGTGGCACTTTGGGATATGGTTTAATAGGCATGGTGGTGTTGGGCGGAGATGGTTGGACTTGATGATCTTAGAGGTCTTCTCCAACCTATGATTAGGTAATCAGATGTACTATTATCAGTCCAAGCAGAGTGTTGAGACACCTGAATCTAAGTTGAATATCAAAGATGTTTGCCACAAAAAATAATTCATTCCTGACTTTATTCTGAGGAAATGGCTATAGATTCATAGTGAAATGGAAATTTGTTTACACATAAAGCAGCCAAAATTCGTGATAGTAGAATTAAAAAAAACAAAACACAAAATCCAACAAAATAACTAGAGTGAGCTCACTAGCAACTTTCTTTACAACTGCATTTATGTAGCACGTACAATCATGGATGCTCACCTTTTCTTGCCTTTTCAATTGACTTCAGCTTTTCCTTCGCTTGATAAACAGCTGTTGCCTAGTTGTAAAAAAAAAAAAAAACAAACACCAAATTAAACCAAACCTTCAATGCATCTTTAATTTGTAAACTTCTACATAAAGTCAGCTCTGTGAATAAACTCTTGCAATTTAATTGCATTTTAAGAAACTATTCAGTGAACATTTTCAAAATACACAGAAATAAAGTAGGTTTGGAAGAAAATCAGCATTATAAACCAAAAATGAGTACCATGATAACTAAACAATATTTGACTACTGAAAAAAAACCCAAACCATTACATGTTTAGAAGTTTTACATATTTAAATCTTCTTAAACTAACACAACACCAGTTTCTCCAGAAACACCTTTTTCACAAGTAGATGCTCAAAAGCAAGCACATCCTTATGAACTTACCAGTATGTGCTCTGCTTCTTTTAGTTGTTTCTGCAGCTGCTGAATATCATTATCTCTCTTTTCTACTACCTTTTCTAAAAGCTGCATTTCGTGATGGATTTTCCCCTGATCAACTGCCAACTTCATTAGCTCTTGAAACTCTCCATCTCTCTGAATCAGCAGTTCCAGGATCTGTTAAACAAGAGTTTTGCAGAACTTTTAGTTTAGCTAGAGTAACAACACACCCTCAATCATTTTGCAAAGAGCAACTTACATCCATAGGAGTATTTATGTTTGCATGAAAAATGAAAGAAAATTTCTTGCTCTGTTTGCAGATACAGCCTATGAAGCACTCAACAAATGAACAAACAAACAAATAACAACAGGAGGACCAAGAATGCCTTTGTAGCGAGGCCAAAACCTCACCATCACCAGTAGCCTAAGTATAGGCAAGGACAAAGGCAGAAAGAAGAAAAGCAAAAAAAATAGAAGCATTGTGCTTACCTGAAGAAATACAGTTTAGAAAGTCAGCTTACCTGGCTCTCCTCTCCTGGTTGTGGAAGCTTCTGGTTTCTTGAAATTGCCAGAATTTCAATTAGTTCCCTGAAAGGAAAACTCAGTGTTTGCAGACTTTTCTAGGCCATTATTTGCAAATCACATCAAGTCATCCCAAAACCATCAGAGTACTGACATCACTACAAAAATATTCACGGAATTGAGTATTTTATAGTTTTACAATACAGTTTCGGCAGGAATTTCTCAACCAAGAGTAATTCTGTGAATAGTCTCATGACCAGAGCACGTTTTCTTCTTTGAGCTCATGAAGTGCTCGTGTATTTGTACTTGTGAAATGTGCTAAGTTCCTGCCAAACTACATAAAGATATAAGCAGAAGCTGAGAGAAGAAACAGCACAATGAAACACATTCATACCTACTTCTACTGCCTGTGTTTGTTGCAAGAGGGCATGAAAGCTGTCTTCACTATTTTACTTCTCTACTTTTCCTCCATTTTTTTCCCCAACAGAGCAAGTTTCACACTTGGATTTAGAGCAGTGAAGTCCACGCTTTCAAACATCTAAACAGTCTGTTGTGAAACTACTTTTACAACCAGTATTTCCACAAAGGTATATTAGTTGTATATCAAACACACAAAAATACCAAAAATCTAATAATATTCTGGTGCTAGGTTAGAAGTGCTTCTCAAACAAACCTCTTCATCACACTTCCAGGTACCTATTTACTTTGCCGCCACTCTGAAAAGCCATCAATAACATCAGAAGGGACTTGCTGAGCAACAAGATCACGATGCCAAAAGGCATTTTCTGCAAATTCAGCAAACTTACTTGGCTTCTAAGGCTATGGATGGCCATTCAACGCTATGCATGAGTAACTGTCTATCTCAATACACTGTCCTTGGAACAGTACTGATGCTTTGCTTGGTCCAGTGCAAGCAGCTCAGTGGGATGTACAACTAATACAGCAGTGGGGCCAGAACCTCAAAATGAAAACAGGTGCTTTTCAAAATGTCTGAAAAAGCCCTAGTTAGAGTAAAGCTCTAACTAGCATCTTGGTCTGTGTCTCTTGGTCATTCCTGAACACTAAAATGATTTAAAACTATTAGAGAATAAAGAAACTCTTCATTATCACTAAAGCTTTATTCTACCTGACCAGCGCTGAGCAGCAGCAAATAAAATCTGTTACAAGTAGGTCAACTACCGCCATCAAGGCTGATGTCACGGGGTTTTAATTCTGTTCTGTGTTAGCTGGATAATGAACAGAAATTCAAAACTACACACGTTACAGATTAGACATGTTGCTTACTGGTCTGGTGGTAGGGGCAAAAAGTATCACAGCTGTGAGAGGCCTAGATCTACGGTGCTGCAACACTTTGCTGATCCACAGGAAAATTCACTAAATTCTGCTGAGGGTTCCTCTGGATTCGTTACAGTAGAATAACAGTCCCAAGATTTTCTTTTTTTTAAAAAGTTTTGATAAAGAGCAAGTTTGTTTGTTTTTCAAAAATACATTCTCCCCAGCAACCCATATGTCACAATAAAAACTAAAACCAAAAATAAAACCTAATCAGACACAACAAGAGCAACTGATCAATGTATTTTCCTAGTCCTACCAGCAGTAACCGCACAGAGTGACCCAGCCACACAGATAGTTTGGGTTACTCCCTCTGAAAACGTTTTCCTAAGCTCCTGCCCTCCTCGAGAGGAGGAAAATAACTGGAAACCAGTTTGACTGCACTGCCAGCTGCGCCTCCACGACCTGCAGGAGGGTTATCGGTCCAGCCTCAAGAGTCGGGGACTAAGTCAGCAGAGCATTTGTATCACCCCGAAGACGAGTTCTGCAGCCTGCTCTGGGCGAGTTTAACACTACTACAGACAACGACCAGAACGGCTTCAGCCACGCAACGCCATCTACAAGTCTCTGACTCGAGCATAGCTTTTAGTGACTAACACAGAGCCTAAGAGGGGGGGGGCATGCGCGTTT